TGCTACACATTACACAACTGCAAACGTTAAAAAATCAAACGTCTCCACAAGGAAACTGGTCATTGAAAGCTTGATCATGAGCTGTACTGCTCCGTAGTGTCCCAGAGCAAAGAAGACAGCTCATCTTATGATTATAAACTCTCCTTTTCTTCATTTTTATAACTGGATTTTAATGGTTTCTTAGATGTAATGAATAGAAAACACGTTTATAACCGTTTTCGCCTCTTTGTGGCATTTTTCTGGTAAACTAAGTGCTTTAATGAGATTTACATGGTTTGTCAGTGTTTAAATTATATTTCCATCTTTGCAGAGAAAATGTGCATTTTCTCCTGAAAGCATTTACCAGCTATTAGAGACAGTCTTGTGTGCAATGAAATGTTTATATAATGCATTCTTGACTTTTTTCATTTACACAAGTGTTTAAAATTTTAATAACATGATTTCAAGTTTCTTTTCACAAAACTATTTGCGTTCATGTTTTAATTACTCCTTCTAGGCTTTTTATGTTGTTAACCTAGAAACTGATGATGACAAGAGTAAAGAGTCATTTTGCCACACAATCACGGGGGTAGCATTAAAGGCGTAGGACACACGGTACTTGGAAGTTGTACTCGGGGCAAAAAAACACCGGTGCACCATTTCCAAGAACTAGAAGTGAGCAGCGTCACATCTGAGCCTAACGACAGGATTTGGAGTCTTATTTCTTGATATTTAGACATCTCACCTCTGACTGGGAAACAGCAGTGGCTTTTCAGTGTGCCACACCTTCAACAATCACAGCCGCAGCTCTGTTAAAATTAAACTCTCCTATTCTTTTAGGCTGCATTGCCACGAGGCACTGATTATGCAGCGTTACAACATTTACTAAGATGTCTGAGTAAGGTGTTCTAAAACTGGTTTTGAGATCGAAATTTATTTATTGAAACAAAAAAATGCAATTAGTGTGTAATCATCCAAGAAGAACCGTTTATCCCATTTCAAGAAACATAAATCCTCTTTTGCATTTTTCTAGCACCTACAGATCTTGATTATTTCCTCTAGGGTTCACTTTACATTGTGTGCTTGAGAAAAATGACACAGAGATGAGAATCCATCATAATCTGTTCTTAATGTTCAAGCTCTCAGATGCATTTAATCATTTTGAGGATGCTAAAATTCAGAGTGATCTTTAAGTGAGAAAAGATGCAAACATCTTGCTGGAATCAGTCTGAAATCCAGTCCAAACTGTTTAAGATGATTACATGTTTTACATGACCTCCTTGTACCTACAGTATGTATGAATGTGTACACAGAATTTTTTAAGGTTTTCAGTAGGTGTGGAAAATTGACTCTCCATTGAGAATCTTTGGGATGAGCTGGAGAAGGCTTTGTGCAGCAGTCAGACTCTACCATCATCATTGCAAGATCTTGGTGAAACATTAATGCAACACTGGATGGAAATAAATCTTGTGATGTTGCAGAAGCTTATTGAAACAATGCCACCGTGAATGTGTGCTGTGATCAAAGCAAAAGGTGGTCCAACAAAATATTAGTGTGTGTGACCTTTTTGTTGTGGTGGAGCCTTGTTTTAGGGGCCAGACAGTGTATATGAACAATAATTGCACTGAATTGACTTTATATAGCAGAATTTGTACTTTTTGGAGACGCACACAATCACAGTGTATGGGTCAGAAACTTGAGACTCCTCCCTCATCTTCTCAGTATGAAATCTTATCAAATGTCTTACTGAACCATTCTTCCTCCTAGCAAGACCACCAGTAGCAAATACATTTAAATACTGCATTCTCGGTCTTCAATCAGTTCAGGAGAACAAGTGCATTTATACTTTTTTCCTTTCACCTCTCCCATCTTAATGCATCTCATTTTCCTTTAAAAATCTTCTGTTGAGCACTTTTCCTTCCCCATCAACCCTCATCAATGTCCCTACCCTTGCTAGGTGAAAAATTACACCCATTACATTTGACATGTAGTGAACAGAAATAGCATTATTTTTACTGACAAATATCAAGTAAAACAACTTTGGGTGACAGAAACTGCAACGTAAGTCACTTCTAACCATTAGACAACTGTGATACAGTAAACACAAGTTAGAAAGTGGAGAAAATTGGTTTAGATTGCAAATAATGCAGACTGTGCAAAGTAAACCATGACATATGGAGACAGATTTCTATCCTCTTCTTATAGAGGCAGAGATCCAGAGTATATGTGGCTGTTATGGAAACACACAGTAAATCTAATTTTTTGCAAGGAGTTAAAACTGTTCAAAATATTTCAAATACTGAAATTTCGACAGGAAGTAGAAGAGTTTAACTATCCTGTAGAGCTTTGTGAAAAGGTTGTTTTGTGTTCCTTATCTGATTCCGTGGTTTTGGTTCTTCACTATACACAGAATAAATAGAACTTGTTTTTACCTTTTTGCAGATGTAGCGTTATTAAGATCCTATTGTCTGCCCTTAACAGCTGCCCCTTCACACAGTAACAACGTGTAGGAAACGCCAAGGTCGGATGCTGGTTTCAGTATGTTTACATTCCAGAAGAAGAGACAGAAGAAGAGAAGAAGAACGCTTTCCGTTAATTAATCAAAGTACTTTATTTGTGATAAACTAATCAAAGCATATGTTGATCAATAACAATCAGGTGAATGATCTGTGAAATAAAGATGTCATGAGTTATGTGTTTAATGAATAAACAGGACTGCACCAGACAGACTGATTTACATTAACATGGAAACGCATGACACATTGTTCTCAACCAATCCGAACTTTCGTCTGTCGTAGGGCAGAATCTGGGTTGTTTAATGAAGTTGTCCAATCTGGTTTACTAAGATTTGTAAACAACTAGGGGATATAAAACAAGGCAACGCCATTTTATACTCAGTTCCATTTTAACCTCAGTTCTTTTCAGTTGGAGGTCCTAAGGATTCCATCGTCATCATTAAGAAAGTTGCAGGCTGGCCAGCTGCATTTTCCTACTTTAAGCTGAGAACTGTCAAGCTGGAGATTTCCGTCGTTTGAACAACAAGACGACGTCCCTTCAAAATAAGAGCTAACTCGCTGACGCCTGCCGCTGATACCGGGAGTCGATCCGCAGACGGGCTTTGTCGTGCTGCGACCACTGTTTCACCAGCTCCAGTACATCCGAAGGTCCGAGGACCTGGCATTTCCTTATCTAACACGGGAGGCTCCAGACGGTATGTGGTTACGGCAAAATTGCTGCTCATGTCATCAGCTTCTGAAGCCTCGTGATTCGTAGTCATAACAACCAGATCCGCCTACGTCAGCCTAGAGATTCTGACACACACACACACACACACCAACACGAAACATTCAAATCCATATGCATTCATCATTGAGATAGTCCTGGTAGATTGTAAGAATTTATAATTATAGAAATTAAAGATTCTTAAACGATCCCAACTCTCTCTTTTCTTGTCTCTCAGTCAATACAGAGTGTTTAAGTAAACTCCCTGATGATAAAAACAACCACTTCTGATTATAATATTTAGATCTAATTACAATGTATAACTATACAAACTACAGATCACTACACAGACATGTTTCAGGTTCCACTATAGCCTTCAACAGTGTATGCCCTCAAATTTAGAAAAGATAATCTGGGTAAATCTAAAATGCAGTTTTCAAATAATGATTTAATTTATTAAGGGGCAAAAAGCTATGTAGTGTTCACATATAAATCCGAAGGACTTTCCAGGAATGCGGAAAACCCCGAGCCCGTGGGCGGCATTTAACATGCACGAGAAAGTCCGCTGTGTCTTCCATAATTAGATAAACAATGGCGGGCATGAGCTCTGTTGCTTTTGGAGACTCTGAACCACATTGTTTGATTAACTTGCTGCGTGTGTCCTCCTCATAATAAAGTACTGCTGCGAAGAAAAATCTGAGATCATCTAAATTCCTGCAGGACTTACTAGGTATAGGTTAAGGTCAGAGGTCATGAGTCAACACTTTAACTCAGAATATTTGTTCTGTCACATGTGGTGTTAAGACTGTTTCAGAAAAACAGCAGCATCAGTCAACATGGTGGTGGTAGTGGGATGGTTTGGGGCGGCTTGACTGCTTCAGGTCTAGGACAACAAGCTGTAACTGATAGAACCAAGAAATCTGCTCTAAAGCATAAAATCCTGATGAAAGATATCTGAACTTTGACCTTCAACAGGCTATTCATGTCATGAGCCGGGGTGAGTACTCACCTCATGTTCTCACTATCTCTGAGTGCTTGGTTTCAGGAGAGGGAGCAACAGCTGTTCCTAATCAGCTGATCAGCGGGCCGGCTTATAAGGAGGAAGGTGGACATGACTCGACACCGGATGATTACTACTGACTGGTAGTCTCTAGCCTTCGCTTGTCTCAAGTTCTAGTTCTCTCGTGTGTTTTCTCTCATGACTTGGATTAATTGTATTTTGGATTTACCCACCTTAGGTCTGGATTCTCATCAGGATTCTCTTCAACACTGTTTTGGATTTTTATCCGGTTCGCCTCCTGGTTCACCCTCCTCCAAAGTGCCGACCCGATCTCCTCCACATCTCGCTCCCTCTCCAGAACCACACCGGTCTGGATCCAATTCCACCATTCACCTCTACCGCCCTCCATTCATTCCCTAGACTCTACCCCGGCTCACCCCTCCCACACACTTCTCTTCTTCCCAAGCCACGCACGCTGCTTCCCGTTTCCTCACCCGCTGAATTTCCAGTGCGCCCTTAGTTCATCGTTTGAAATAAAAATGATTATTTTTTCATACAACCCGACTCTGTCTCCTGGATCTGCATGTCCTGGGTCAGACTCTTGCCTCAGAACATGACAGTTCAGGCTGCTTAATCCTCCAATGTGGCTGATTTTAAACAACTTTGCAAAGAGTAGTTCAATTGTGTTTTCAGCATAGGTCCAAGGTTTGGATAGGTTCTTTCTTTCATTATTAGAAAACTGCATTGTACTATAATCAGACCATCTCCGATAATGACATTTCTTTGCAGATCTGAAAAAATAAAATGCAAAAATAATAAATAAATAAAACCTGATCACATCAGTCTCCATCATCAAATATCACTCTGGTGTTGGGCTTTCTACATGATTTATGTACAACTGATGCTTTAAGGGAAGAACAGTAATTGAGCAATTTGTCCAGCGTAGCATTCTGGTATTAATTACATTTGGTTCATTAGGTTGCAAAGTGCAGGTAAGAAACATGAAAGGTCTGCAGGTGCAGCACCAGTGACTAATCAGTCGCCATTATCCTGATGGTGACAAAGGTCTCAACCCGAGGGACATGCTGGATGCTGCGATTACTTCTCGTTAGATGCAGCAAGAACCCAATAAATAAATAAACAGTATCATGTTTTCATTACTGAGGGGTGATTTGAAGTTTTTAAGCAACGACTATCCAAAAAAAGGTGAGTCATCATTTAGAAAATGACTAAAATTGCTAAACACAATGGCCAAATTTCAGCTCCTGCAGTTTTGGTGTTGAATAACAAAACAGTTTGGGACACCGAGTACTCAGCGAGGCTGTATGGAAACAAACAGTGTCCTGAACAGATGTGATTATGAGGATTAGGACTTACTACGTCTCTGCTCTCGCCCCTGACCCTCTCTTTTATTCAGTAGGAGGGAAGAGACCGGCAACAGGTCCCGCAGTACTGTACGACTTGTACGTCAGCTAGCAAACGGCTCTTTCAGTAAATCCATACACATTATCTCACATGGAGGCAGACAGCAGACATTAGCTGCTGCTGTTCTTTAGGACGATTCATTTTCAGGAGTATAAAAAAGATGATTAGGACCATGATTCAGCATGCGAAGAAACATCCAGGGGTAGGTTGGATTACATTGATAATGACAAACCTTATATGAACATTTTAAACATTCTGACCCTCATTTTTTACTTTTTCATGCACATATTAAACTAAATATCTCTTAATACTTGGAGGGTTCATCATCCATGACTGTTTCTTAGAAAGGATACATTACAAATATGCAGCATGAGCTGTATGGATGAAAATTTGCTTTCAAATAAGTGACTCAGCAAAATGTTTGAGATGGAAAAGTGCATCTACAGCACAAACATGGAACTTTATAACCAGTTTCTGAAGAAAAATATGAAACAAAAACTGGAGCTCTTCTTCAATGCTCGCTAACATTTTGCAACAAACACTTTGGATTTCAAAATGGAAATTGCTATATAAAATAGCAACCCCAGCACATCAACTGGTTTTAATCATCAAGTAAAAGGTGAGCAAATCATCTGAAAGCTCTAAAGACTCAGAAAGATAATAAATGGAACTTTGAGTTTAAAAAATAATAATAATTGAAGCAAACGTGCTTTGTTTGCACACACTGTAATTTAATTTTCTTCTCTATCATATCATGAAAGGGAAGAAAGACACCCGAGCTTTCCGTGCTTGTTTTCTTTTCCTCCTCACCCCCTCTGTTGCCTCAGAGCTATACTGAGGGTGACCCAAATTCATGGGCTGACAGGGTTGGCTTGGCAGTGCACCAGAAAAGTAATAAGGGCAGTACCAGAATCGAACCCCAGCGAGTATAAAACACTTCCTGTATCGGTCAGGCTGAACAGTGGGAGGTGAAACACTCACAGGTTTAGAACAGCATAAAGAAATCAGCGCTACAGCACAGGCTTCTCTTAATTTGTTGTGTGTGTGTGTGTGTGTGTGTGTGTGTGTGTGTGTGTGTGTGTGTGTGTGTGTGTGTGAGCATGTGTGTGTGTGTGTGTGTGTGTGTGTGTGTCAGATCAAAGCTGACCTGCTTTTGCGCATCAGTGTTTGTTGCTGCCTGTGTGAGTGTTCAGTGTGTGTACTCAATGAACCAATTTCCAAGGTTAAAAAGTTCAGTACACAATACATATGATCAAGAGGCCCTTAAAGTAACACAGAGCAGTTTCCTGCTCCTCCGCCCTAATGGTTGAAAGTACAATGGTCATAAACACAAATATGATGCACATTTACAGATTTCTGCTTTTTATCTTATTAAAAAAAATCAAGTCTTTACAAAAAAAAAGGGAGTGTTTGCATGGAGTGGTGTTGTCCTGGGGGACTCTTGAGTGCTGAGGGAAAGATGATTTATTAGCAGCAACTTTAATGTCGTGAATCTCAAACTTTTATCACCAGACACTTTTCTGATCAACAACGAGGCGAGTTGTAACGCATTTAGCAAGGGACAGATGTCTAGATACAGCTGAGTAGAGACATCCTTCAGTTCAACCTGATCAAACTGTCAGCTCTCTGTAGCTTGACTAGATCTGTGTGGGCTGAGAACAGCTGTTCACCAGCGGTGTGACTCTGTCTGATACACAGCATCACACAGCAAAGCAGACGGAGAGTATGAAGCTGTGTGATGTCGACAAATAGATGCTGTTTGGTTTCAGCACTTCTCCCACCTAAGCTGGAGTGTTTAAGATGACACATCACACTGTCCCCATGTCCCCTCAGCTTGCTTTTTAGTTTCACCACACACACACACACACACACACACACACACACACACACACACACACACACACACACACACACACACACACACACACACACACACACACACACACACACACACACACACACACACACACACACGGGTGTATTGTGCCACTGTGCCCTTGCCCGCTCAAACCACGCTGACAGTGGGCAGCCTCACACATGGCCCGAGTCTCATGCAAATACAACAGGACAGGGAGAGCAGAAGAAAGAATAACAATTACCTGTGTGTGTGTGCGTGTGTGTGTGTGTGTGCGTGTGTGTGTGTGTGTGTGTGTGTGTGTGTATGTGTGTGTGTGTGTGTTTGTCTCACACATTCATTTTCATGTTACATACCACAGTAAACTTGATGGATTTTTTAAACCATCATAGCTCTAATCTGGGACTGATTCATTGCTCCTCTCCTGATTTCAGTTAATCCCTCAGTTTTTCTTCATGACTCTGGGAATCTCCGGGGCTTCGCTTTACCTGATCCGACTGGCAAGAGGACCCCATGTCAGGTGAGTTTTTGCCAACTTTATTCAAGTTTGCATCTTGCTTTTTACTGATGTGTTTGTTAAATAATCATTTTGTGCTTCTCTTGGTGCTATCCTGGTCCCAGACCTTAGTGTGGATGAAGATCATTAGTTCTAGTGGGTTGAATTTGGTTATCTTTTAGAAAATGGGTTCACCCCCTTTCAAAACCCAAATGAAGTTTACAGTAGATCTAAATTCAGCAATCAATGTAGATTTCATGAGATGTCATATCTCGTCAGTCGCCATTCCCAAACTTGATCAGTTTCTCAAATGGGTACTGTTCCTTTAAGTCAAATATAATTTAAATCAGGAGAAAGTTTGTCAGTAAAATAATGTACATGGGATAATCTAGGCTGCATCTAAGATGCGACAGTCAAATAAAGACAAATGTTTCAAATGATATCATAACTCCGGAAGTAAGCGAACCAGCTTCCGCCTTGGGTCGCAGGCTAAAAAGTCAGAAAGCATCAAAACAGTGGTTTGTGGCATAACACCTTCTCTGGGATTAAAGGGAAACTTTGCAGTTTTGGCTTGCTTTTAGCACCCCATAGTGTAATTTTAATTCACTATTGTAAAAAACTAAACTGAGGATTTAAGCTGAGAGGATTTTCACTCACCCTGTAAAGTGTCATTTTAGCACATTGGCTCAAAAAATAGTGTGCCTTTAATCTGGCATTAATCCTCTTCCGTACTGAAAGAACCTCAAATCCAACACAACTGTCAGATGTTTGCTGCCTGCCTGATCAAAACACCATCACATATCGAGGTGCGCTTTGCATTCTGGGACGTGATGGAGTAGAACGATTCCAGTAACGAACCAAGGGCTCACGTGGACGAATGAGGATAAGGTTGATACACTAATATTCCACTAGGAGTAAATCTTCCAAGTTGAAGATTAGATCAGGCTCAGAACCCAATACTGTCTTCCTATATTTAATTTTCATAAGCCCCACCTCTAAATACAGCTGACCAATGAGCAAAACCCAACTCATTCACAGCTATCGGGTGTCAACCCATCCCAAATGGTCATTTTGTGATTCTTAACGCCCAAACTGGGAAGCAGCCGGTAGAAAATGTAGCTGACAAAGGAGCTCTTGGGCTCCAACATTCAACACTAAACAATCAGCAGAGAGAAGCCTGACCAGCAGTTTTTTAATAAAAGTAAGTGAAGTGTGCAGAGCAGCAGCTGGATAAGTCAGGGAGGCTTTTTGAGCACTTTGACCACCATTACAGATGGTATAGTGGGAGGGACAAAAAGAACCATTCAACCTTTAATTATAGATGGTGCATCTGGTCAGGATGCCTTTATGGACAGGATTTCTAGGCACAGCCAAGGTGTTGAAGGCATCCGTTTTGGTGGCCTGAGGATAAAGTCTCTGCTTTTTGCAGATGATGTGGTCCTGTTGGCTTCATCAGAACGTGATCTTCAGCTTTCGCTGGAGCAGTTCGTAGCCGAGTTTGAAGCAGCTGGGATGAGAATCAGCTCCTCTAAATCTGAGACCATGGTCTTGATTCGGAAAAGAGTAGAATGTCTTCTCTGGGTCAGGGATGAGGTCCTGCCCCAAGTGGAGGAGTTTAAGTATCTCGGGGTCTTGTTCACGAGTGAGGGAAAACTGGAGCGTGAGATTGATAGGCGGATTGGTGCTGCTCTGCAGTGATGCGGGCGTTGTACCAGTCTGTCGTGGTGAAGAGAGAGGTGAGTCAGAAGGCGAAGATCTCGATTTACTGGTCGATCTACGTTCCTACCCTCACCTATGGTCATGAGCTTTGGGTAGTGACCGAAAGAATGAGATCGCAGATACAAGCGACCGAAATGAGATTTCTCCAAAGAGTGGCTGGGCTCTCCCTTAGAGATAGGGTGAGAAGCTCGGCCATTCGGGAGGGCCTCGGAGTAGACCCGCTGCTCCTCCACATCGAGAGGAGCCAGTTGAGGTGGCTCGGGCATCTGGTCAGGATACCTCCTGGATGCCTCCCTGGTGAGGTTTTCCGGGCACGTCCAACCGGGAGGAGACCTAAAGGTAGACCCAGGACACGTTGGAGGTACTATGTCTCTAACCTGGCCAGGGAACGCCTTGGGATTCCCCCGGAGGAGCTGGCCCAAGTGGCTGGGGAGAGGTAGTCTGGGCCTCTCGCCTTAGGCTACTGCCCCCACGACCCGACTCCGGATAAGCGGATGAAAATGGATGGATGGATGGATAGATGGGTAATGTTTTTGGATTGTGTTTGCTAACAGCAACATTTTACATGAGGAAAGGGAAAATTGAGCTTGTTGGTATCAGAAACCCATTGATGCATGTACATTTTAGTCATCCATGAAAGAAAACCTGAAAGTCTCTTCAGCTAAACAAAGACCCAAATCTGAGCTGGTAATCCACACTGAGCTTCTTTAAGTGAAGATTACTTTTGTCTCCCCCATCTGGCAGTAGGAGGAACTACACCCCAAAACCATGTCTCGAGTTAATAAAATAAATATTTTTTTGGTCTGCTTGTAAAATATTGATAGAAAAAACACTTCATACTGAGTCAAAACGGTATATTATGAGACTAACAAAATGAAAATGATTGCATTTGCAACCAATCTACTCTCATGATAAGTGTCTGACAGTATTGGGTGAATAATAAATCAGCCCTAAAGGATGAAACATGCTTGGAAAAGGACATATTTTAAAACTACATCATCCAGACTGAACCCAGTGACCTCTCACATACTGTAAATGTAGATGGATTACATCCCATTTTGGGCTGTTTTTCCCTCTGAGGGTCAGCTATGAAGCCTGACCTCATCACCAGCTGCTGATGAGTGCAGCGGTCAGTGGATGCTTCCCTCTCAGGCTGTCGAGTGTTTGTTGTAATGGACACAGAGGAAGAGAACAGACACGCTCCTTCTGCCATCCCCGTCTTTTTGTTTGTGCTTTGGCGACGTAATGTGCTGCTGGAGGGGGAAGTGGAGGGATGGGCAGTCGCAGCGGAGTGCTCAGAAATCCAGACTTTGCTTAATGAACAGCAGAGAACTGCCAATTCACTGGGCTGAGTTCATTTCATAATCACTGTTTTTCCTTCCAACTTCTGGTTCCATTCCTCGTGTGCATGCATGCGTGTGTGTGTGTGTGTGTGTGTGTGTGTGTGTTTATGTCTGTCCTTCTGCTCCTCTATCCTTTATTTCACCCTTTTTTGTTACTTATTCTGTTATACTTGTAATCTTGTCCTCTTTCTATCTGCACCAAATCTTTTATTTTTGCCTTGCACCTTCTTTTAACATTTTTATTTTGCTCTTTTTCTCATCCTCCAACATGCTGTGAATCCTTTTCACACTTGCAGCCTCTGGGACAAAAAGAACAACCCTGAGCCGTGGAACAAGCTTGATCCAACCTATCAGTACAAGGTCCCTTCACACACACGCACATAACAAACACACACACAGTTTGACTGTGTTCCAACTCGCACACATCCATGTTTGCCAGAAAACTAATCTAGACAAGAATGGCGTCATTTCAGTGGAAATCTCACAATCCTCTTTAGATTAAAAACTTACCAAGATAGAGTTAAACAAATTAACGATATGGCTTCAGTTGATTACGGCCACGTCCTCTCGTCTGTTCAAACAAAAGAGAATCAAGTATTTCTCAAAAGCATGAAAAGACAGATACAACCCTGAGCTTGTTGAGTTCTGATGAAACCAAAACCCTGATAAAGAAACAAAAACAAAACCTGCACAAGCAGAAAACATGACGAGAGCCCGAGCCGTCTGGATAATGTATTTTTCAGAGGAATGACCATTTTCTGAGGGTTTTATTAGGACTTGGGTTCCTGCCAGTAGAGCTGGAGCTTCTACAGACAAAAGGTCAGGACAAGACATGCTTAATTCTCGATAGCAAGCCAAAGGTCTCGCATCAAAATTCCACCAGCGTCTAAACAATAATCATAATGAGGGAAGGGGTGTAGGAGAGAGTGAAATGGATGATGGCAGATCAATCAAGAAATCACTGAGAGAAAATAATCTTTGACAAAAAACATGTTTATACGTTTTAGTTTTTACTTATGCAGTCACATAGAGTATAGTATCCATGGCACGTCCAGCAGAAAGATAAAACAACCATAGTAGACATGTTTAGATGAGTGTGTTGCAGGAAAAAAAAACATTTTTAACACCTCTTCAATTTTTTAACATGCCCTCCTTCAGACAGCACCAGTAAACTTAATTCAAGCTAAACAGATTTAAATGTATTCCACCTTTCCTCCACAGTTTCTGGCCGTCAACACGGACTACAAGAGCCTGAAGAAAGAGGGACCTGACTTCTAAAGGTCCTCCAGGCAACTCCAGGGGCACCACGTTTAGCAGGACCTCCACTACTCCAGTTGTCGCCTCACTGATCTGATGTTTTCTGGATTTTTCCTCTGCCTCACCCTGAGCTTTGCAAAAGCAACCCGAAAACAAAGAGAAAAACTAAAAGATCACACAGGATGGAAATAATCGGATATACTGAAAAGAAATTTTCAAGCACCAAGTGTTCAAAAAATCGTTTAGAGCTCCAAAAGCTTGACTGTAGAAGAAATAATGGCATTTTTTACATCTACGTGTACGTTGGATGTTAGTAGAGGCCAATGTCAATAAATCTGAAACCATTGTGAAGATGTTGAGTGTAAAATGGAGCGGGCATGTGAGACAGACATTTAATTTATTGTTTGAGGAAACCAAACAGAAAGGGTCGAGTGGAATTAGCATGGTTTTCTATGTGCATACTGACTTTTGAAACTTTTCCCACAGCACATAATTAAATGATACAGACTTTCCTAAATGAGTTTAAAGGCTCCAGATCATGCTATTGTAAACAACTGAGAGCAAAGGTAGGCAGAGTATAATAAAATAGTACCATTGGCGCTACTGAGATGTCATATACTATCTTAAAGTCACGTTGGCAGTTTTGCTTGCTTTTAGCACCCCCAAAGTCCATTAGTATTCTCTGTGGTTAGATCGAAAATAAAACGTGTCTGGTCGCGGTGCATTCGTCTTTCAAACACTCTAATCTAACTGCTGAAATGTTTCCTCAGCCTTCATTAGTTTCTACAGGAGTGGTTCATCACTAAATGAAACAAATCAGCTGTGTTCATCATGTAAAACATGCAGGAAATGTGCTGAAGGCAGACTGCAGTACCAGGTATGTCAGCAGATTTTTCAACAGGTGGCAGACCACCACTCTGAAGTTGCAAGTGCGGTACTCTGGCCACAGATGGTGGTAGGGGTCTGAGTGGCATTTTATTAACTCTGTAAAGGATCGCTTTAGCACATACTGACTCAAGAAAATGATTTAAATTCATGAAAAAGTTCCACGCTATCTCTTTAAATATGAACCATTTTCGTCAGCCTGAATGTATACCCCAAAATAAAATGGCTCGTGTCAGTGAAGCTCTGCCCATGCCCGCTCTGACGAAAACACACCTACAACAGCATCTCAGGGATAGCATCTGTTGTACTGACTTTGGTAGTCCAGCGGTTTATGTGGATTTTCTATAATATGGCACCTTTAATGCAAGTTATTGAGTTTTGTTTGTTGTCAAATCTTGAAAAATTTGTTCGATCGCATCCAATTTGGCAAAACCTTAAGAGATCACTTGCTTAGATTTTTGTTATGAACGACTCCCAATGGGCCGCGTGGTGCTGCAGTTGGAAACATTGTTGACCCGCAACAAGAAGTTTGCAGGTGCAAATCCTGGCTTCAGTATTAGAGTTTGCATGTTCTCCCCTTGCATAAGTTTACTCTAAGTACTCTGGTTTTCTCCCACAGTCCAAAAACACACATGGCCCTAGGTGTGAGTCAAAGTGTGCTGGGTGTTCTCCGCCTCCCTCTCTACGACTGTAGTTAGTCACCAGCTCCCTCAACGTTACTGAGGAATAAGCGATTCGAATAATGAATGAATGACACAAACCATCCTCTTCTAGTACTTTCAAAACTTATTTCAAAACTCCGATACAGAGTTTGTTTTTTTCTCAACATGTCCATTATGGAAAATGTAAAGTAGTAAGTACTGTTGAAACTGTGGGAGGTAAATAACTTGTGTCAACTGTCAGATTATTCAAGAACACAAGTGCTTGGATAACCAGCTGTGCTGTCCCAACCGAAGTCTGCAGACGTGATATAAATCTGTTACCTTAACGTGACACTGAGACGAGTTAATCTCTTCAGCAGAGACGGCTTTAATAGAAGCAGCCACAGCTACTTTACCAGAGTCGTCTTCACGGTCATAGAAACTGTATTTGTGAGCGAACCGCAGTAACCTGTGAACTGATGCTGAGGTGTTGTCACGAATGTAAACAAGGATGGAAACAGAGGATCAACCTTGATGACAAAGACACAAATTAAATATTTCAGATTTCTGTTTTTCCAATCAAATCAGGGTTTTGTGATGCATTTAATGTTACAGGATTTACAGGATAAAGCCAAGAAATGTTACAGTTGCATAGTCTATGATATAACACCATCAATAAACTTATTTTCATAGAGACATACCTTAAGTGGCATAACACACTGAGTACCTAACAATCCCAAATATACAGGTGCTGGCCAGTAAATTAGAATATCATCAAAAGGTTGAAAATATTTCAGTAATTCCATTCAAAACGTGAAACTTGTACATTATATTCATGCAATGCACACAGACCAATGTATTTCCAATGTTCATTACATTTAAATTTGATATTCATAAGTGACAACTAATGAAAACTCCAAATTTGGTATCTCAAAAAATTAGAATATTCTGAAAAGGCTGAATATAGAAGACACCTGCTGCCACTCTAATCAGCTGATTTACTCAAAACACCTGCAAAGGCCTTTAAAAGGTCCCTCAGTCTTGTTTTGAAGGCACCACAATCATGGGGAAGACTTCTGACTTAACAGCTGTCCAAAAGACAATCATTGACACCTTGCACAAGGAGGGCAAGACACAAAAGGTGATTGCTAAAGAAGCTGGCTGTTCGCAGAGCTCTGTGTCCAAGCACATTAACAGACAGGCGAAGGGACGGAAAAAATGTGGTAGAAAAAAGTGTACAAGCTCTAGGGATAACCGCACCCTGCAGAGAATTGTGACGACAAACCCATTCAAAAATGTGGGGGAGATCCACAAAGAGTGGACTGCAGCTGGAGTCAGCGCTTCAAGAACCACCACAAGGAGACTCATGAAAGACATGGGATTCAGGTGTTGCATTCCGTGTGTCAAGCCACTCTTGAACAAGAAACAGCGCAAGAAGCGTCTCGCCTGGGCCAAGGACAAAAAGGACTGGACTGATGCTGAGTGGTCCAAAGTTATGTTTTCTGATGAAAGCAAGTTCTGCATTTCCTTTGGAAATCAAGGACCCAGAGTCTGGAGGAAGAGCGGAGAAGCACAGAATCCACGTTGCATGAGGTCCAGTGTAAAGTTTCCACCGTCAGTGATGGTGTGGGGTGCCATGTCATCTGCCGGTGTTGGCCCACTCTGTTTCCTGAGGTCCAGGGTCAATGCAGCCGTCTACCAGGAAGTTTTAGAGCACTTCATGCTTCCTGCTGCTGACCAACTTTATGGGGATGCAGACTTCACCTTTCAACAGGACTTGGCACCTGCACACAGTGCCAAAACCACCAGCACCTGGTTCAAGGACCATGGTATCCCTGTCCTTGATTGGCCAGCAAACTCGCCTGACCTTAACCCCATAGAAAATCTATGGGGTATTGTGAAGCGGAGGATGCAATACGCTAGACCCAACAATGCAGAGGAGCTGAAGACGACTATCAGAGCAACCTGGGCTCTCATAACACCTGAGCAGTGCCACAGACTGATCGAGTCCATGCCACGCCGCATTACTGCAGTTATTGAGGCAAAAGGAGCCCCGACTAAGTATTGAGTGCTATACATGCACATTCTTTTCATGTTCATTCTTTTCAGTTGGCCAACATTAGAGAAACAAACATTTTTTCATTGGCCTTTAGAATATTCTAATTTTCTGAGATACCAGATTTGATGTTTTCATTGGTTGTCACCTATAAATATCAAAATTAAACGTAATAAACATCGGAAATACATTGGTCTGTGTGCATTGCATGAATATAATGTACAAGTTTCACATTTTGAATGGAATTACTGAAATATTTTCAACCTTTTGATGATATTCTAATTTACTGGCCAGCACCTGTAATGAGAAGAGTAACCCTGGAACAAAATGTAAGTAAATGTGTTTTTGGTTCATTCTGTTCTTGTTACAACAATGAAATCAAATCCTGATCAGTCAGGATTGCGCATCCATGGAAAGAGCAACGCAGCTAAACGTGTGGGTAGAATTTTAAAACCTTTAATAATCCCCTGTTGGTTTCCAATATTTTTTAAGATTCAAGAGCTGCCAGGTGTGTGTCAGTCACAGGTGCATGACTGTCACCAGAGTGATGGCTCTTGGAGAGCTTAGGTGTGCTGTATGTGCCAGAGTGCCCAACTGCATCACTCTGGCTGACCTTCAACAACGCTTGGTTGAGGAATGGGATGTCATACCAAAGAGAAGGAGAAGCTAAACTGCTGTGGCTGCTTATGTGTCTTCAACATTCCGCTGAGGACCCTGACTGAGTAAAATATATATGACCATTAAGAACAAATATCTGTTGTTATTCCCTTTCTACTGCAGGAAAAGGCAAACAATTAAGCTGCCAAGCACCATAAAAAAAGCTTTAGTGAATCTTCAGTACACACTTGGTTTTTTTAAAGCAAACACAGTCATGGATCACTCACCCTTTCTCTCGGGTATCTTCCCTGAAATGCTTCTGCCCAACCGGAAATCCACATTACCAGAGGAAACAAAAGCGTGCTGAACACCAGCCACCATTTTCTAAGTGCAAACGTCTTTTCTTGTCCATGAATTCAATAGAGCTCCGGGAGTTGACGTCACTTCTCCCGGCATGCAACAGTTCAAATCGAAACGGCACCATATTGGCATGCAGAAGCCGGCAGCTGGACTATTTGTTATTGTCAGAAAACTCAATCAAACGGGAAATATGGTAGATTCCTGTTGTGCCCCAGGATGCAGAACAGACGCGGACGACATAAGGAATGAGCCATCTACAGGATTCCCCAAGATCCGGAGCGCCGCAAACGTTGGATCATTGTAATAAAACGCACTAGTGACCGGGCTAAAATGAAACTGTGGGATCCCGAGAGTAAAGGTTTTCGCTTATGCAGCGACCACTTCATATCAGGTACTTAAACCAACGTTTCCTCAACTGTGTATGGTATTTATTTTAAATGCTTTTATTGTGATTCTTAGTGGGCTTCCTAAACTTATTTTGGCGTGGCTTTTTCTGTCTTATTACTCATAGAAACAAGTAAACATCACGTAAAACGTTGCCTCGTGAGTTCTGCGTGCTGCCGTTGCCGTGTTTTATGATCACAGCAATTAACCGGCTAAGCTGTATTTAATTTTTAAGCAATGGTTGATCAATTGTCAGATCACACATAAAAAGCACTTTGGATTGCTATTTTCTGCCTCTCCGAGACTACTTACGTGTAAATCTGTTATTTGTCCGTCCATCCATCCATTTTCATCCGCGTATCCGGAGTCGGGTTGCCCTCTCCCCAGCCGCCGGAGCCAGCTCCTCCGGGTAAATCCCAAGGGGTTCCCCGGTCAGGTCCGGTGTTGTGCCGGTAAGAAGCCCGCTCCGACAGCTTCTGGCGTCGGAGCGGGCAGTAGAGTCGAGAGTCTCAGACCTTCTCCCCAGCTCCTCCGGCCGGGGGAATCCCAAGGGGTTCCCCCGGCCAGGTCCGGTGTTGTGCCGGTAAGAAGTCCCTCCGACAGCTTCTGGCGTTTTTAAAAAGTATCCCAGGGGCACGGTAAGGGTCGGAGATGTTTAGTCTATTTAATTTCTGACTATATAAAACGATTTCTTCTGTTTTAAAGTGTGAAGTAAACTCCAACGAAGTAAAATCCAAGCGGATCCCTTTCATTTTCATGGTTACATCCGTGTTTGTTTACCTTTTATGCATGCCAAAATGGCGTCCACTAACTGAGAGTCACGTGGGCTCCGGAGCTCTATTGGTGTTTTTCTTTTTGGGACTATGGTAGTTGGCCCTACAGTTTAAATGGTAGTAGCTGGCGATTTCTCTCTGATTGTATTGAGCCATGAACCTCTCCCACCAGTGGTGTTCTGTTGCGAGTGCGTAATAAATGGAGAACCCAGGAAAGTGCGGAAGTGCTCCGGTTTGGCGAGTCAGACATCCGGATGGTCCAGTATGTAATTGGCAGCGGTTTTTAAAAAAATGTGAGAGAACCACTTCATAATTAAATTTTTGTAGGTTTTATCTCCATAATGTAGTTATAGCTTTACTATATATGAACATTGTTAAAAAACATGAAAAACATGTTTTAAGCTATAAAGTTTTTCAAATTTGACACTGCAGCTTTAATTACCAGTAGACTTGTTTCCATTATGAATCCACACATGTGCTCGGGGTGCCAACTTGCATGCATTTGGCCAACTCCATGCAGAAAAGCTGCAACTCAAAATTAGAACCAGTGATCTTTTTGTTGCCAGGCAACCAACTGTTCCACCATGCAGCCCTGCAAATTTCCAAATCCCCTGTTAATTATTTGTCGCGTTAACGAACCAGTTAGATGAGGTCACTAACAGAAAATCTGGTACATCCATCTATTTCTGGTTTTATCAGCTTACAAAAATATATATTAACATCTTGTTCACATCCGCATCTTTAACTCGGTGACAGTTTTACGTTTCTGTAAAGTTAGCCAACTGAGCCGTTAAGTTAATTACTGTAAAAAAAAATCTTGTTTAAGTGTATTCAGGCTGAAAACAACCACTTATCCATAACCCCACACTTGAAAACCAATAAAAAGGTGTACAACAGTGCTGCACGCCCTGAGCAGCACTGTGGCTGGCTGTTTTTGAGCTCATGCATGCTCTACAAAACATCAACCCATGCTTTTAATTTCCACTGGAAAACATTATTTACTGAGCTAATCACTTCACAAATCCAGCACTGCTGGGATAAGTAAGTCACACACGCTGTGATATGAAGTTGCAGATAAAAAGGACCAAAATAGAAATCAATCACGGGAGATGAATGTTGGTGTGGGTCAAAGAACATTTTAGGACGAGTTTCAGATGAGGAAAGATGGAGTCCATCAAATAAAACTAGCTTTAATTTTCACTCAGGCAGGAAGCAAGAGGAATCAAAACCTTCTACAAATATCCGCCTCCTGCTGGCCCATTTCTTCTCTGTTAGCGGGATTACTGGATGAAGCATGTTCATCTGTGCCAACCGGTATGTTTGTGTTTCGCCAGTCAGCATCACTAGTCACCAGGCAACATCGCGTCTTTTCTCTAATGACACACAAACTGTCTCAATGTCAGGCCCCTGAGCTGTCTAATGCACTACTTAATAGACCATCTCT